CAAAACCATCTTTATGGGCTCCTAGAAAGGGGAGGAAAAAAAATCCTTAAAGGCTTGTCCGTGCTTATCCCGATGATAAGGAAATCCGGCTGAGGAGGTTTTCATATCGAGTGTCCCATCATTTCTGCAGGTTTTAGAGCCTACGAGTGTCCAGGGTGAAATATCCATTTTGAAATAACAATCCAGTTTATTTAAAAAGGAAAAAAAAAGCTAAGCCCAGTGTTCAGCAGCTCCCTCTCACTTCCCGCGATGGAGTCTGTCTGTTCATAATATAAGTTATTATGGGATATAAAGGGGGGGGACCCAGAAACCAAAACATCAAATCCCATTAAAAGAGTGCCTCTTTGGGAAATACGGAGGGGAGGTGGCTGGGGGCCGAGAGAGGACAACAGAGTGAGAGAGAAAAAGCGAGGGAGTATCCGTTTGATGCTTGCAGAACTTGGTTTCTGCTCTCGGTGAGCTGAAGATACATTGTTCCGGTTGGCTAACGACCATTGTACAATCACCCAAAAGAGGGGTAGAAAAAAAACATAATTAACCTACAACTGGAGGGCGGTGGGGGGGAATTTACGTAAGGCAGGAAGAGGGGGCAGCAAATCAAAAAATATCTGAGCGCACGAGACCCGTGCGGTTCTGTCCTAGTGCCGATTGTAAAACATAACGCCCCCCCCCCGCTCTGCAAAACTAAAGAGACAAAAATATGCAAAAGAAATAATATTAAAATGATCAGGTTTCTCTTCTTCGAGATAGCCTTCACCATCGGAAGGGGGGGACCACCAAAAAAAGAGAGAGGAAAAAGTCAGTCGCACGAGTTCTGGTAGCCTCATGTCCGTCACCGTCCTTCCGAGTGTTTCAGGCCGTTTCGGGCTTCTCAACGGGTTCGGGCGAAAGCTAGCCGTCCTAGAAATATCTCGTGGGTCGATCCCGCGAGGCTTGGGAAGAGAGTTTCTGCCCCTCACGCGCGGGGGTGTGTGGTGCAGTCTCTCCGAGGGTTGCGAGAGGAAAAAAGGTTGGCAGAATCAAGGGCCACGGAGCACTGGGATGCCCGTCCCCCTTTCCCAAGGGAGGAGCAACGCCCGCCTGAGGATGATGGGTCTTGCATTATTTCCACGTGGCAGACTGAGGGATCGATCGTGGAGGGATCATATCCAGGAGGTACTCGCGCTGGCGATCCACGGCTGAAGAGGCCGTCTTGTGCACGGCGAGGCTAGGGTTCACAAAGTTCAGCGCGCCGCCTGGAGAGAGAGAGAGAGAGAGGAAAAGCCGACCTGGTCATGGGCACAGTACAGGAGATGCAACTAAGGACATTTCTTTAATTATCATCACAAACTCAAGGGGGAGGTTGAGACAGGATGGAAGCAGTGCGGAATGAGAGCCAGATAGCAGTGTGCTGGGCTGTTCACTCACTCACTCACTCTCTCTCTCACACACACAACCTGCTTTGCTGCAGGCCCCCCTCCCATGCATCTAAAACTAGTCTTCTTCCCAAAGGCTTTTCCACCTGGACTCCCATCAGCCCCTCTAGCCAAGGACGATGGAAGTGGCAGCTGCTGGGAAGCCCCAAGTTGGCATGGCGCATGACAGCAGCGCATAGTGGTGTGGATTGTGGAGATAGTGCTGTGTGGATTTAAAGGAGTGGGTGAACGCAGTGAATGGGGAAACAAGGGGGGGGAGATCTCCTCCCTATGCCATGGCTGGCAGGGCAGATCCCCCCCCCCTTTTGATCAACTGGATTTTAATATTCCAATGACTGAATTTTTCTGTTGCTCTTCAAAACCCCAACCAAATTGTCCTTGACTTGTCACGGTGGCCCAGTCAAGGTACAGTGGATCTTTACTTTTTTAAAAATTGCTTAAAAAAAAAACAGCAACTAAAATTGAAAGGCAAGAATTTTACTGGGCAAAACCGTTCACTGCTCTCTCCTCTTCCACGCGTGTCTTCTTTTGCCGTTGGCTGTGCAACCAGCAAAGTTAATGACTGTGTGGTGGGACACACTGGGAAGGGTTGTTTTTTTAAAAACTATTTTGTAGGGGGAAAGTTGCGTACACAATGACTGCCCACCGTACCATTTTTCCTGTCCAACACCAGTCATTAAATCAACCGCAGTTGTTTAAAAATATATTTAAAACCAAGGGAAATTGAGCCTTGACAGCCACCGAAAGATTCTGGACAAATTTGTTTAAAACACCTCGGGTCTGATCTGAAGGTCAAGGGATATACCATGAAGCCCTCCGAAATGGTGAGTGAAGGCTACCTATAATCGCTTTGCAGAAAGAGAGAGAGAGAGAGAGAGAGAGAAAGAGGAATCAAAAGGAAAAGCCCTTCACCCAGACACAGAGAGCGAGAGTTTTCCCCCACTCTCTTTTTGCTTTCAGAAAGAAGGCTGGCCGGAACAAGGGAGCGCCCGCCAGCCGCGACACAAAGACAGAAGGGATCTCGAGAGCGAGTCATCTACCTGCGTTGACGAGAGTCTTCCTCCAAGCGGACGCCCCTCCTTTGCCGACGGGTCTCTGAGCACGCTTACCTTGCCTGCCGCCAAGGACGGCCACGCCGGAGGCGTTCTGCAGCTTGGGCGACGGGCTAAACGCATGCAAGACGCCGCGGGGGGTGCCGGCGCTTCGGGAGAGTGGGCTAGAAGTCTGGGAAACCACAGGGGGGAAAAGGGAGGGAGGGAGAGAGAGAGAAATAGTAAAGGAGATGACGATCCATAAGCCTTAAAGGCAATGTTCAAGGAACATCCCGAAAAACCTACAACCATCGAACAGGGAAGCCTCTGCCATTTTTAAATTTTGCTTCCCAAATGGCTTTCCCACCCCTGCTCTGCCAATCCCCGGTGTTTTATTTATGCTCGCCTGCTGAAAACCGGGGGAAAGGGGGACCCGAGGCGGCAGCCCAGAGACACCCCCCCCAAGAGAACAGAAAGCTTGCTCCCTGAGGGTAGGAAAAAAAGTGAGCCCAAAAACTCCGCTCCTGCTGAGCGCGGCTCAATTTTTTTAGGCCCTGGTCGTTCTGTGCTGCCAACGCCTGGATTGGAACCCGTGGGGGGGGGAGTCAGTCTTAAGAACTGGCACCTTGGTCTCTGGCCGCGGAGCCAGAAGAGGTTGGGAGTTCGAATCCCCCGCCTCCTGCATGGGGCTTCCTGGGAGAAGAGCCAGCCTGAGGGCCAGCAGCAGAGCCCCAGAAGAAGGGAAGGAGAAACCACCTTCGAGGATTCTCTCCCTGGGAAACCCTGGAAAGGGTCGCTGCCCGTCAGAATGGTGATTGATCACTCCGCAGTCTCCCCCTCTGGCTCAGGAAATACAGTTCCTCCGAGCGGGATCCTGCTTGATAACACAGATCGCCTGCAACCTGTGAAGCCGTCCGTCCCTCGGGCCCCTTTCCTGTCTTTCCCCGCCCCGCCTGGCACCTGCTTGAGCGAGTGGTGCTGCTGAGCAGCCATCGGTTCCGGCTTGGTCTGGACCGGCGAGGCCGCCTGCTGTAATATCCTCTGTTCGATCTCCTGCTCCTGCTGGAGGGCTTTGACGAAGGCAGCCTTGAGGCGGCTGGTGTGCTCGGCCTTCAGGGCCTTCTTCTGGTTGGAGCACATACAGGTCTCGCACATGATGGAGCCGCTTTTCTCCTCCCGCCAGCGACAGGTGAAGTCCGTCTTGCACTGGACGCAGGTGTAGGGCTCCTGCGAGGAGGGGGGTGCCAAGACTTTGCCTGGAAAAGGGGGGGGGAGAGGAGGGAAAGGAGAACGATGGGGTGGGGAGTGAGTTTGAACCCATTCATTTGCTTAAAATATTCTTTAAGGCAGATTTAAAAGCGCAAGAACCGAAACAGTCTCATTTTAAACATGTTGTGAAGGAAAAGCCTGCCCTGAAGAGGAAAAAGCCTTTGCCTGCTGGTGGAAGGACGGCAACAAAGGGGCCAGCCTGGCCTCCAGTGGGAGGGAGTTCCAAAGTCTGGACAACCTTGGAGGGAATAAGGATCTCTGTTCCACCTCCTCACCCATATCTGGATGAACCAGCACTCACCCCCTCCCCCGCTACACAACCCAATCAAGACATACTCATGTCTTGCTTATGGATTCAAATGCAGGTTGGAGAAATTTTCTATGACATGTCACATTTTCTCTCCAACCTAATTTGAACTCATAAGCAGGTTCGAGCACATTTATGAGTCATCTTGCCATTCTCACCAGATGACTCATAAACAGGGTCAACCCCATTCATAAGCTCAAATATAGGTTGCGGGGGGGGGGGAGAGGGAACAACACATTATAGAAATCCTCCCCCTACTTATGAGAGACTTTGGGGGCTGAGGATTGTGGCCTGCACAGTGGGTGATTTTTGCATATTCCGTCACTGGATTCTAAACTGTTTCCATTATCTTAGGTTTTAGCTTCTTCCAGAGCTATCCAGACAGCCCCTTAATAATAATAATAGTATTAGAATGACAGCTCTGGAAGGGACCTTATAGATCATCCAGTCCAGCTCCTGTCAAGGAGGCCCCGTGGTGGGATTCAAACTCCCAACCTCCGGGCCTGAGTTAAGGACGCATCCACGGCTTCTCTCCTTACCTTGAGCTTCTAACAAGTTCTGCACCACCTCCTCCAACCCCACCAGGTAGATGAACTCGTTATTTGCTGCACTGGGCAGGAAGTTCATCTCGGGGGCCGGCGGCTTGGGCGGGGGGATCTCCAGCAGCGTCTTCTCCAACTGCTTCCGCAGGGCCAGCTTGGCGGCCGCTTGCCGGCTGGCGGGGGAGTCGTTGGAGTTGACGAGGGAAGCCGCGCTCGAAGCCATGGTGGCGGCCGGGTTCACCTGGGCCGACGTCACTGATGTGCCTTTGAGCGAAGTCGGGGAGGCCTGGAGTGGGGGTGGGAGAAAGGGATCCTTCGTCACAGGGCTTGCCTCCTCCCAGAACAATTATTTTAACGGGCAGCGATTCTACAATGTGTGAGGATCAGTCGATCTAGGGCTGGATCTGGCCTTGTTTAAGTGACCCGACGTGGCTCCCCACGCCGTTCCGAGCCGCGTAGTCGGCCTCACTCCTCAGGCTCACCTGGGGAATGTTCACCAGCAGGCTTGTGTTGGGGACGTTGGCAACACGGATCAGGCCCTGCTGGATGATCCTCTGACCCTGGATCTGGACGCTGGGGACCGAGGCCCGCGGGGCCAGGAGCAGCGGCGGGGGCCCCGAGCCGGAGTGCTGGCGGACGTTATGGATTTGCTGGGGAGACACAGAAAGGGGCTGATAATGGAGGGATCCATGAGAGGAGGTGGGCAGAGGAGAAGATGAAGGGGGTGATGAGGAGACAAAAAGCGGGGTGGGGGGAAGGAAAACAAGGATGCAATGCAAAAGTGACCAAAAAGAAATAGGAGGAAGCAACAACATTAATATTCCCCCCCCCCGAAAACAAGGATGCTCAGCAGAAAAACACACACACACACACACACTTAGAAGCATTAATATTTTTGCAAGAAATTTCTGGATCAGAACAAGGCTCTGAAGAGGTGGTCTATGGCTGCTGACAGTCTTTTAAAGGCAGTCTTCCAACTTTTAAAGGTAAACACACACACACACCCAGCCTTCTTGTGACTTTCCTGGCAATGTCGGGGTCAGGAGGGTGAGGGAGAGAAGCAAAGCCCAGATGCTTACCTGGGCTCCTCTGACGAGGGGAGGCATAACGATTTGCGTGCTCTGCTGAGAGCCCAGCTTCGAAGAGGATTGCTGCCCGCCACGGATCAAGGGGGGAGGAATAACGGTGCCGGGAATACGTGAGGAATTCTATTGGCAGGGCACAGAGCAGAGAGAAGGGGAGGAGAAAAAAAAAGACAAGGGGGGGCACGTTTGGTTTATGACGTCTCGTGTTTTTAAAAAAGCCAGCTTTCCTCAGCAGGGAGTCAAGACTACAAACCCCATTATTCCTAACAGCCATCACCATGGAGCTGGGGTGTACCTGGGAAGGGACCAGGTCAGGAAGGCGTCTCCAACAGAGCCATTTTTATGCGCTAGACTACAAACCCCATCACCCCCAGGCAACAACAGGAGGCGCGTGGGGCTTGTAGGTAACAGGGAAGGGCCTGGCTGCTGCTGGTGGAACCCCCCGCCCCAAGAACCAAATGGAGCACTTGCAGGGTTACGGCACCAATTCTATAGCATTGCCAAACCGAGCGTACGTTTGCTAACGCTCCTCGGTCGACCATTAACGACAACCAGGGAGGGCTGGCCACTTGTCTGGGCCAAAGTGGCCACCCACTCATCTGACGTCTGAGCTCTGCAGAAGTTAGGACACCACCGGAAAGCCCGTCAAAAGAAAGGAAGGGTTTCACCCTGCCCCACACCGACCTGAAGGAGGACCGATTTGCTAGAAGAGATGCTCTGCGTCCCACGCACCAAGGGCGGAGGGGTGGCCACGGCGTTTCCGGAAGAGCCGATGGGCTGCCGGGAAACCAAGGTGGAAGAGGATGGGAAGGGATCAGAGGAAAAGCACAGAGAAGCCTTAGAGAGCAGCGATGACCATTTGGATCGTTTGACCATCGGCTTTTTTCCGGCTATGTTTTTCAAGAGGTAATGATTTCACTCATGGACATAGTACGTTTCATAACATTTCAAGCTCAACGAGTTAGATCCCCTTATTCAGAGAACGATGGAGTCGGAAGGGGGTCTCTGAGCCCATCAAGTCCAACCTTCTGGGGTCCAAATCCAAGCAGATCGGACTGAGCCCCCCCCCCCCAATTTTCTCTTGAAGGCTTCCAGTGTTGGAGCGCTCACAACTTCCTGAGGCAAGAGGTAGTATTAACAATTTACAGTGTTGCCTCGCTAGACGATGATAATCCATTCCACTGAAATCGCTGTTTAGCGAAATCATTGTCTAGCGAAAAGCATTTCCCCATTGGAATGCATTGAAACCTGTTTAATGCGTTCCAATGGGGAAGAATTGTCGTTGTCTAGCGAAGATCGGCTATAGGAAAGCCGCTTTGCAAACCAGAAATCAACTGTTTAAATCGCTGTTTTGCAAAGCTTAGGTCCCGAAAACACCTGTTTGCGAGCGTGGAGGGAGCTGTCAAAATCGTTGTCTAGCAAAAATCGGTTTGCAAAGCAGGGACCAAACATTGTCCAGCGAAATTCCCCCATAGGAATCACTGTTTTGCAAATCGCTATAGCGATAGCAAAAAGCCAATGTCTAGCGAAAAAACTGTTATGCGGGGTAACTGTCTAGCGAGGCACCACTGTACTCCTAATGCATTCATGGGACCACAAACACTTCCGAGTGCTGGAAAGCTAGGAAGATGTATATATTTTTTAGAATAAGCCTCTTGGGAAAGGATTACACAGGGTTGGGGGGAGGGGTCTGCTACGAAGGTGGACCAAAGATCCTTTCTATACCCCCTCTCTACAAGCCTCTTGGGAAAGGATTACATAGGGTTGGGGGAAGGGGTCTGCTACGAAGTTGAACCAACACCCCCTCTCTTTATTCAGAACTTCAAATTTGCGGGTCATGATTCAAGCAGTCCACCATTAAGTAGCCAGGAATCAAACGCCTCTGGGAAGGTTGAAACAAGACCGTGGGCAGGCCACAGCTCCCGACAGATCCTTTGCAACTGAGTGGTAGACTGCTATTGAACCAGGAGGCTTCATTCGGCTTTCATGGCCATTAGCCATTCCAGCATTTTGGGAAACGATGCTGTTCATATCCTTGCACTAGCTTTTTGGGTAATTCGAGGAGCCTGGTTATAATGCAGCCAAAACTCCGCTCACAATCCAAGTTCTATCCCAGGTAGCTGTTTCGAGGTTCGTTCAGCCTTCCAAGGTCAGTAAATTGAGTCCCCCGCTTGCTGAAGCGAGTGGAGGGGGCGAAATGTAGCCACCATAACTCAATTGTAAACCGACCAGAGAGTGCTTTAAACACATGGGGGTGGTATAGAAGTAGAACACTTTAAAAATGTCATGATGTTTTAAAGATCTTACGCAAGTCGTTCCGAAAGCCTTTGAGGGCTACAAACAGCAGGTGGCAAGCAGCTTTGGGAAAAATCACACACGGCTCCCTCAAAAGCCATCATGGAAGGCGAGACGGGCAGAACAGGATCGGCAAAGGCGTTACCTTTTGAGCCGTCGTCTCCTTCTGGATCTGACTCTGCCGGAGCTTCTTCAGAAGCACGAGTTTTGCTTCCTCTAACCGTAGTTCTTCCTTCAGCTGTTTGATCAGACGCTCCCGCTCTTCCGGACTGCTTTTCTGTGCCGGCCCAGGTGATGCCAAGGGAAGAGAAGGGGAATAGGAATTTGAATCCGGCAGAAAAAAAGGGGCCCTTGGGCAAGAAAGATGGAGGAGCTTCTGCCTGGATAAAGCCAGGATGGCCCCTTGGGCGAAACCAAAAAGCAGCCCATCCCTCCACCATCAGCTTCCACACGCCAACGGACTCACCATCAGCACCTCCGCGCTGGTCTCCTTTAACGCTATTTTGGTCAACCCGTTCATTCTCGGGCTCGACGGCTCGTTGTCGGAGAGCACAATGACATCGGGTGAGGGGACTCTTCTCTCCCGCTTCGGATCGCTGGAGAAATTGTCCCCAAAAACAGAAGGGGAGGGAGTGGGGGGGAAGGAAAAGAGAAAGACAAAATGACCAGGGAGAAAAATAGGGTGATGAAAATAAGGCCTTAAGAACCTGCCAGCACTGACAAGCCAGGGACAGCCAGCCAGCGGGGTTACTGGGCTAGAGTAAGTCCTCGGTTTGATTCCCCAATAAGCCATGAATCTCAACCTGTCGTTCTCCCTCAGCTTGACCTACACCACAGGCCTGTTGTGAGGATAAAGGGGAGGGGAAGGCCAGGGTGTACGCTAGCTTCAGCTCTCTGGAGGAAAGCTGGGATCTAAACAGAGCTCACAGACACAGGAGAGCTGCCTTATCCGTGGGATCTGTATTTGCTGATTCGCTTATCCACAATTCTGAAAATATTAGAAGAAAAACTGTGGATCCGTGGATACCGATCCAGCGGATAAAGGGGGTCCTAATCTATGCCATTTGCTAGAGAAATGTATGTCTACAATGTCGTTACCAGCACTGGCCATTAGACAAAGCCAGAGACCCTCGTCCACGTTTTTTCAGCATCTACAGGTTGGGGTGGGTCAGGGAGAGGCCTTGGGACTGAATGCCCACAGATATGGGGGTCCAACTGTACAATATTTATATCCAGCACCTGGGGTTCAGGAACATTTGGTTCCGTAAGTTTGCAGAGAACGTCCACGGAAAATCTCGAGAGGGAGGGAAAGGGAATGAGATTCCCGGAGGCTTAGCAGCCTGTCGCCTCCAAGCACCCGTCTCTTGAGTCATCTCTGCCCCTAGGAAAGGCATCTTGTTGCAGTGGATGCTGTCGCCGGGGTTCCCCATCTTGGAAACTCAAGGGTTCTCAGACAGGAGCCCTCACCACCACCTGCGCTGTGGCCAGGATGTCTGGGAGTTGCAGTCCAAGGAATGCTTGAGTTTCTGAAGGGGGGGGGACTGCAGCTGAATACAGGACCTCTCTATCACACAGCACAAAGGGAAAGGGGAGGCTTCTGCATGCAGGTCTTTCACCTGGCAGAGCAGCCGTGAGAGGAGGAGTACGAATGAGGCCCCAAGGAAAGAGAAGCGAGTTTCATACCAAAGGCTCAACAAACATTCAGCCCACTGTGTCTTCAGGAAGGCCGGCGCAAAGGCAGTCATAATAGGAGAGTGCTGTAGAGGGCACTCTAAGACAAACGTATTTCTATTTAAACTTTCAGAAAAGTTGGAAAGCAA